CACACACGCACGCACGCACGCACGCACGCACGCACGCACGCACGCGCGCGCGCACACACACACACACACACACACACACACACGGCTAAGCATGTGGCATGTATTTGTAATCCCAGTACTGGAGAGGCAGGGACAGGTAAGCTCCCTGGGGCTCACTGCCATCCAGCCTAGTAAGTATACTGAGTGAACTCCAGGCCTGGGAGAAACCTTGTCTCAAAACAAAAAAGTGTGAAGAAAAAAAAAAAAAAAAGGAGGAAGAAGGTAGAGGCATCTGAAGAAGGACACACTGTAGGTTGTCCTCTGGCTTATACATGCACACAAAGATGAACACACACACACACACACACACACACACACACACACACACACACACACACACACAGAGCCCTGGAGAAACTAGGAATAGAAGAAACATATCTTGATACAAAAAAAAAAGGCTATATACAACAAACCTATGGTAAACACTGTTCTAAATGGGGAAAAACTGAAATCGTTTCCTCTCTAGGATTAGGAACGAGGCAAAGGTACCCACTCTTACCGTTCCTATTCAATATAGTGTCTGAAGTCCTAGCTAGGGCAATAACACAAAAGAAAAGAATAAAGGGAATACAAATAAAAAGGGGAAGAAATCAAAGTATCCCTACTTGTCAAAGATATGATCCTACATTTTAAAGATTCCAGTAGACAAACCTTTGATAAATACTTTACACACAGTAACAGAATGTAAAGTCAACACAAAAAGATAAGTACCTTTCTACATACCAATAACTAACTTGCCAAGAAAAGAAACAGTAAGAAAAGATCCCATTCATAACAGCTTCACAGATAAACCTTTCTCTCCAAAGATGTGTTTTGTCAGGGTATTTATCACAGCTACAGAAATGAAACTAGATGTGGCCCTACAGCAGCCAGGGTCTGTGCTGATGTCCTAGGTTCGTTACCATCGAAGGCCATGTGGATGCCCGAGATCTGGAGCCATGTTAGTATCTGAGAGTCACGATGCCGTTGGAGCTGTGCCAATCTGAGTGCCCTGCACTGCCACTTGGGGCAATGGTGACATCTAGACCTGGCTGCTGCTGAGGGCCATGTCTAGGTCCATGGTCCTACTGAAGCTGGGGTCTGTGTTGAAGTCCAAGGCCCGTGTTGCCAGCAAAGGTTACACAGAAGCCTGGGATCAAGGCTACAACCTATGGCCTTGTTGGTGTCCAGGAGCCATGCTACCACCACAGCCATCTTGATTTGAGTGCCCTGTGCTTCCACCCAGAGCCAGGATGTCATCCCAGGCCAAGCTGTTGCCAAGGGCCACGTCTGGGTCCGTGGTCCTGCTGCAGCTGGGGTGTCTGTGTTGATGGCCCATGTCACCTCAAGGGACCATAGGAACCATGCGTGATGAAATCAGAGGGCCATGCTGAGCCGGCCCCACCCTTCCCTGGCCCTGGGACAGCTGGTCCTGCCCTTCTCTGGACACTGCAGCAATGAGAGCAGGCCCCAACCCTCTTGGGAGAGCTGCCCTCCCCCCCCTGAGAGATGGCCCCATCCCTTACGACAGGTGAGGGATGTGTGATCCTGATGGCATGGGTGGGAGCTGGCTCCACCCCTTCCTGGGTGGGTGGGTGGGGGCAGTCCCAGTGGCCTGGACTGACCAGCTCAATTACCACTCAGGCTCACAGCTGGGCCTGGGGTTGGCCCACCCTAGCATCTACCCCATCTAGGACCTGCTGGAGCTCATGAAGGGACTGGCCCTATGAAATGATACCTGCAGGATCTCCATGACTTGGGGTGACTGCAGGATATCTGAGAGGAGTTTTGGTAAAGGATCCAGTGATGATGGTGTACCAGAAACCAGAGGCCTTGAACAGGCCAATGACTCATTGCAATGAACATTTGCAAGGAAAGCTGATTGGACAAAAAGGTATATACTGTGTAACACACACACACACACACACACACACACACACACACACACACACACACACCAGCTCCCCATGCCACCAGGACAAAAGAAGAAGTGTTGGAGAGGCAGGAAAGATGGACGAGCAAAGAGGGTTTTTTTTTGTTGTTTTGTTTTGTTGGTTTTGTTTTGGTTCTTGATTGTTTTTTTCTGTTTTTTTGTTTGTTTGTTTTGGTTTTTATTTTGGTTTTGTTTGTTTGCTTGCTTTGTTTTGATATTTAAATTTTTCTTTCAGGGTAGTGCTGCAGGGATGAGGGAAAGATACGGAAAGACTGGAAGGTGAGCAGAATTCGGCTGCGTGATGTGAAATTCCCAAGGACTCAATAAAGAAATTATGTTAAATAAAAAAAAAAAGAAATGAAACTAGAAAATGGACCAACTAAAGATCCTGAACAACTAAAGCAACCCTAAGCAGGCTATCAGAATTGTTCATCTCAAGCTATGCTGTAAAGCCATAGTAACAAAAAGTGTACGATACTGGCGCAGAAAATACACAGACCAACAGAACAGAATGGAGAACTTGGAGTTAAAGCTACAGTTTAACTCCAACTTTTTTGATATTGAAAAAAAAAATGCCCCTTCAAATGATGCTAGGTGCCGGTCGGTGGTGGTGCATGCCCTTTAATCCCAGTACTCGGGAGGCAGAGGCAGGTGGATCTCTGTGAGTTCAAGGCCAACCTGGACTACACAGCGAGGTCCAGGACAGAGCTACACAGAGAGACCCTGTCTCAAAGGGGAAAAAAGAAAAAAAAAAAAAAAGGATGCTGGAGTAATTGGCATCTACCTGCAGAAGAACGTGTAACTCAATCCATATCTTTTGCCCAATGCTGTACCAGTGAGATGGCTTAATGGATAAAGGCACTTGTTACGCCTGATGACCTGCATTAAGACACACGAGAGAGAAGGAAAGAACTGACTCCTAAAAGTTGTCCGATGACCACCACACATGCACTGTGCCATGTGTGTGTCCAGACACACACTAAACTGCAATGAAAAACCAATACAGGGATGGGTGTGGTGGGGCACACCTTCAATTACAGCACTTTGGGAAGCAGAGGCATGGAGATCTCTGAGTTGGAAGCCAGCCTGGTCTACATAGTGAGTTTCAGGCCAGCCTGAGTTACATAGTGAGACCTTGTCTCAAAAAAAAAAAGGAAAAATTGATACAAAATGAATCAGTGCCTTAATATACAATCTGAAATCTTGAAACTACTAGAGAAATTCATGGCAAACACTTGAAAACCCAGGCACAGACAAGTCTGTTCTAAGAGGATTCCAATATGGGAAGAGTTGACTATGGGATTACATGAAACTAAGAGGCTTCTACACAACACAGGAAACAGTCAGCAGTGAAGACAAAAAATACAGACCAGGGGGGGAAAAGTATTTACCAACTACAAAGTAGATGGGATTAATATGTAAAATTGATAAGGAATCTCAAAAATTAAATATTATTAAAATAAATCATTCATTTAATAAATACATCAATGAACTAACTGAGCACACAGTTCTCAGAAGAAGATACACATATGAGCACTAAATATTTGAAAAACACATGCAACATCTTCAGCCATCAGGGAAATGAAACTTCAAACTGCTTTGAGAGTCTACCTTGCCCAAGTCAGCATGGCTAACGTCCACACAACAAATGTTAGAAAGGAGCAGCTTAGACACTGCCAGAGGTGAGGCAGAACAGTGCAGCGACTGTGCAAGTCAGTGTGAGGTTCCTTAAAACCACCGCTCTACCACGGGGTGTATGTCCAAAAGACTGGAAGTCAAAACACAGAAGAGATGCTTGCACAGCCATGCTTCCTACCATACTACTCACAATCGCTAAGAAACAGAACAAATGTAAGATGTCCATCAATCCATGCACAGATAAAGAAAATTCAGTCCAGAATTACAATTTTATTCAATTACAAAGAAAAATGAAATTATGATTATCTGCATGAATGTAAATAAAGATCATCATATTAATCAAAATAAGTCAGACTCAAAGACAAGTATGTTCTCTCCTATGGAGATCCTAGATTTAAATGTATGGGTGTGCATATGTATGTGTGTGGGGTGGATCATGAAAGTTGGAAGGGGGAGATGAGAGGAGAGGAAGAGACCCTAAAATAAAATGAAGGGGAAAAGAGTAACGGCATACTTGTGACAGGAAAGCAAGGGAAGCCATCTAGAGTGGAAGGGACCAGCAAGAGGAAGACAGATGGATGGGAAAGAAGGGGGGGTGGTGAATAGAGGAAACTGTAAAATGAAAATTGGTATGAAACTGTCACAATGAAACCCATTACTTCGTATGCCAATCTAAAATGAAAATAAAATAGAGCTAGTGAGACAACTCCATGATTGAGAGCACTTGTCTTACAAGCCTAGCAACTTGAGTTCAATCCCAAGAACGCACATAAAACTAAAAGAAAGAAAGCAGACACACAGACACACACACCAAAATCACCATCATCATAAATTCTTAATTAAAAAGAGAAATTAAAAACTGTAGCAGTACTTTTTCGTCAGGACCACCAGCCTGCAAATAACGACACGGAGACTTATTATTAATTATGAAAGCTTGGCCTTTAGCTTAGGCTTGTCTCAACTAGCTCTTATAACTTAAATTAACCCATTTATATTACCTATGTTCTGCCACATAGCGTTACCTCTTTTCCATCTTGCACCTCCTGTTTCCTCTCCTTCCTTGATCCAAAAGGGCCAAGAATGTTTCTAAGCCCATTCTATTACTTCCTGTGTGTCTCTATATGTTCTCGGTCCTCCAAAACCTCTACAGCTAATTTTGGCCAGCTAGTAGCTAGCTCCACCCTCTGATTCAAAGTTCAAAGTAAAGTTTATTGGCAGTCTTGGGAGTATCAGAGTGTGATTAAAATTTCCCACAGCAAAAAAACCTAAGAAAATATTAAAATAAAAAGCATTTTAGTGCCATTAGTGGAATTATTACTAACTTTTACTTTATACTTTTCTTCTTTCTATGAATAAATAAATAAATAAACAAACAAACAAACAAACAAATAAACTTTAAAAACATCCTTACCAGAATTCCATCCACAGATGAAACTTTCTCCCAAGTTAACCACGCTCTCTCTCTGACATGATCGGATATCTTTAACTTCTGACATAATGCAGTAAATTCAGGTTCTTCAATGTCTTCAAACTCAAGCCTACCAATTGAAAACAATTACAGAATACACTTATAAATCAAGCCAATTAAGCAAATATTTAGTTTCTATAGTTTGCACAGATCAGCACTGTTTTGAAAGAGAACGTCTCTAAGTGCTTTAAGGTCTTATTTTATCTTTGAGTAGCATTACACACCATTTAAACATATGCTTATCTTTGTCATGGTCTTTCCAAAATAAGAATACCACAAAGTGAAAAACAGCTGCAAGCTTGGTGAACCAAATACACTCCAGAAGAGTAACACAGCTCTGTGAAATACACTCCAGAAGAGTAACACAGCTCTGTGAAATACACTCCAGAACAGTAACACAGCTCTGTGAAAGACAGTAGGTGCAATAGCAGAAACATTCTGGGAAGATGGGACATCTGTCACAGCAAGAAGAAAAAAAAAAGTGCACTGCAGTCAATTCAGTTCCAGTGACCATGGTAAACTGTAGTCTTACTTACTGTGTCATATATTTCTTAGGTGATTATTAACTTGATAGAAATTATTGCATCACATATTTCAGCCCTCTCTTTGACCTTTCTTTTTTTAATTTTATTGCTTTCGCGTGTATGAGTGTCTTGCCTGCATGTATGTATGTGCACCATGTGAATGCCTGGTGTCTTCAGGGGCCAGAGAAAGGTGCTGAATTCATCAGAAGTGGAGTTACAGTTGTAAGCTACCACGTGGGTGCTGGGAATTGAACTCGGGTCCCCTACAAGAGCAGTCAGTGCTCTCAACCTCTGAGCCATCTCTCCAGCCCCCTCTTTGACATTTCTTAACCATAAGCTTTTAATAAATGGCTAATTCCTTTCTATATGTATTGACATAAAGTTACAACACTATGAAGAGCAACTTGACTCTTGAGAATTTACTATGATTCTACAAAAAATACCATTATGCCTGGTTTTACTGAATTTCCACATCAGCCATACTTGGTAAGTATTCTCATTCATGTTTTACATGTCTACCACACCAGAAAAATTAAAGCAGTCACTAAAAGCATAGCAAGTGAGAAGTAATCGGGATAGGAACCATATAGGCTAACTCCATCATCATGCCCCTGACCACTTTTCTAGCTGGGCAACTCCTTCTTCAAAGCATAATTAACTTCTGCATACTTCAATAAAGAAAGTGGCTAGCAATCCCCTAGCCTCAGCTTCCATTCCACTTATTGTACTTGGGCCAGAGACAATGTAAAAAAAAAAATAACACCTCAACTGTAAAAGTAGACTATCATTGGAAGTGCAGATGGACTGAGCTGAACCCATCCCTAAGCGATTTTCTAAGTTTCAGACTGAGGCTGTCCTCTTATCCTTGCTAAGAACAATCATGTGCTACATGACATTTCAGTCGATAAGGTGGTGTACAACAGTAGTCCTGTAAGATTATAATGGAGTAGAAACATCACTTAGAAGACGTCTTAACCAGCATAACAGGGCAGCACAATGCATCTGTCACTTGTGCACTTAGGGGGATGCTGCTGCAAACAAGTCTACTACATTGATACTTGTAGGAAATGATAGCATATACAATGACACACAGGACACATCTGAAAATAAATGACTGTGTTACTGGCTTGTATGCTTTCTAATGTAGCTTTATCATTATTTTACAGCATGTTTCTATTATTAAACAATAAAGGTATCTGCACAACAGTTTGCTTTGTTACACTGCTAACAGCCTCTTACACAGTGATGACCACCTCTACTGACTGCAGCAAGACGGCACAATGACTGATCTACGTACCATCAATATTTGCTTAAGTGCATTCTGCAACGATCACACAAAATTCATTTAATGACACAGTTCAGAGGAGACAGCAAACCCCTATGGTGAAGCACATGTGACTGTAGGTAATTCAGAGATCAACTGTCAGTGCTTATGAGAACCTCTGTGGCAATGAGTAACCAAGAAGAGACTGTGTCTTGCACAGTTTTAACTTACAGGAGAATCTGTGATTCCCCAAAGTTAAACATATATAAAAGGGAACAAAACCGGGTCCTTCTTTCCCCAGGCAATGTGTATGTTTATTCTAGAATAATCAGAAATACTTCCAAAGCTGTGTAGATGGCATGGACTCTTTTAGAATAGATGTTATTGCTCTTTCTAAAGGGAAACTTTCACACACTGGATACACCCGAGTTTAATTAGAAACGAAAGCAAAATCTTCCCCCTTGAACATTCTCCAAACATAGCTTGTATTCCGTATTTATTTTCTAATGAGTATGATTTTTATTTGACCCACAAGACAATCCACCTAAATATACAAATTTTAATAGACTTAAACAAGCCATTTCCAAAATTAGTTCAGTCTTTAGTCTGTTAAGAGTATGGGGCACACAAAGAACTTCGATGTTAGTGAGAATAAAGGAACTTGGTAGCCTGGCAAGGTATTATATGCCTACAATCCCAACACTGGAGAGGCTGAGGCAGGAGAATAGAGAGAGCTCAAGGCAAGCCTGAGCTAAATAGCCAGAATACTTTCTTTAAAAAAAGTCAGGGACTTATTGACGGGCTAGAAATGGGAAAGAGGATGGTGAGGGACAATGATTCCCATTCTGCAATGGATCTCAAATTAAAACTAGTGCTGACAATAACAACAATCATATTGTTTCAATTTCTGTTACTTAATCACACAGTAGCACAGTCAAGAAAAAGAAAATGTTGAAATACAATAAATATCTCTCTGTCGTTCCTATTGGATCCACATGGACTTGCTTAAGTTTAGATACCATTTAATAAATGGAGAGAAAAGTTCTTTGAGAGAACACAGCACTAAAAACAAGACCAAAAAGGGTGGGGGGGCACCAAGTAGGCTCAAAGGCAAAAAGCAAGAATAATGAAGCATGTTGTGGCCAATCAGTACGCAGGAAGAGTCTTACCCTGAAAAAAGGGAGGTGGGGGCAGTTTGGAAACTTGCAAGCCCTTGCATTTAAATGCCTCATGAAACTTTTGCCCACAAACCAGTTCTTCTAAGAGTTATGCTCCACCAGTCTCCACAGATGGCTTTAAATCCCCGAGGCCTCAAAGCATTGTTCCAAAGAAACCCCCCACAAAGCCCGGGAGCTGAGGACCCAGTGAGCAATTGACACCCACGACCCTGCGCTTTTCGCCTACAAGGCTTTTCTTGGCCTCTCCCAGGACCGAGCTGCCAATGCAGCGCACGGCCAGAGGAAAAGGCTCCCAACTGTTGCATCTCAGGACTGCAAAAGAGAAAGTCAACCGACCCCGGGGTGCTCCGGATCGCCACGGAAGAAGAAAAAAGAAGAACGAAAAGAAAGTAAGAAAGAAAGCATCGGTCTTTTTTCTTTTTTTTTTCTTCTTCTTCTTCTTTTTTTTTTTTTTTTTTTTTTTTTTTTTTAATTTTTTTGCGTCTGATGGGGGCTCTCCAGGACCCGCCGGCTCCGCGCCTGGGCGTCGCTGGAGTAGAGCCTGCACCTGTCACTTCGCTCGGGTGCAGGAGCCCCACCCGCCCGACACCTGTCAAGCCGCAGCCCAGACCCCTCCGGGATGCCCTGGCCGTCGCCCGCGAGCCCGGGACCCTGTCACGGCGGCGCCGCCACCCCGCGGAGAATGGGGGACCGAAGGGTTCCCGGGGACCCCGGGCACCGCTCCTACCGGTCAGCCCGGCCCCGCCGCGATACGCCCGGCGTCCCCGTGCCCCGCGCCCTTCCATCCCTCCGGCCCGCGGCGGCCGCGCTCCTCACCTGGCCAGGGGCAGCTCTTCGGGGCCGCTGTCCTGCTCGGGGTCGTCCTCCCGAGGAGGCGGCGGGGGCTCGGCGGCCGCGGCTCGGCGCGGGGCTTTGGGCGGCATGACGCGCTGCGCGGGCCGGCGCGAGCGAGCGGGCGGGCGGGCGGGCGAGGGAGGGAGGGAGGCGCGCGGGGAGGCGGGCGCGCGCGCACGCCGGGCACGCCCCGTCCTCACCCGACTCCCGTTACAAAAATAATGGGAACGTCCCCCGAGGAAAACCGGACGCGCCCGGCAACCGAGCGCCCCGGCCAACCGCGGGAAAACGTCACTTCCGCCCGCGGCGTCACGTCCGCGGGGCTCGCGGGCCGCGGGCGTCAGGGGGAACCGGGGCGGCGGCGGCGGCGGCGGCGGCGGTGGTAGCAGGCGAGGGCGCGGGCGGGAAGCGGCGGGGAAGCCGCGCCTGCCCGGGCCTGTCTCCGCCCGCCTCGTCCCCCGCCGTGGGCGGCGCCAGCCGGGACGGGGCGGGTCGCTGAAGGGAGCCGCGGCCTCTGGGCGATCGCTGGACAGGGCGCGCCCCTCGGCAGGCCCGCGCGGCCGGCAAAACAAAAACAAACGTGCCGGGCCAGTGGGAGGTGGGCTCGGCCGCGGGGTGGGCGGTCCAGGGTGGAGCCATCACTGGCCTTCTGGGTTAAGAAAGGGAAGATGGGCGATGCACAGAGTTAAGCGTGCAGTTGAGTCTTTTCGGTGTGCACCCTCCAAGGGGGGCTAGATCTTAGCGGGAAAGGAGCTTTTGAAAACCAGTTGGCCCGGTGGACCTGACGTCGGAGGCCGGTGTGCTGTGTTCAAGCGCTTGATCTGGCCCCCTTTCGTAACTGATTCTCAGACACAGCCCGTCAAACCGGGAATGGCAGCATTCCACTTGGCGTGTTGGAAAAGGGAATCCGAGGAGTTAATTTGCCTATGCCACATAGCAGATGGGTGGCAGAGGACTTAAACCCAAGTCATATTTGACTCACTGGGTTGCAAACGCACAGACAATCAGAAAAGAGCAGACTAGTCCTGCCACCACCAAACGCTGGCTCAGCAACTGCAGCTCGTCTTAATTTACTTTTTCGCGTGTCGATCAACATGATTTTTCTCTCTTTGGCAGTCCTTATTGGTGGTTGTCACACAACTCCCTAACTGAAGTTCTGTGAATAAAATACAGTTGTTGCTCTGGTGTGAGCTGTCTTGGAGCAGCTGAGCAAGGATGTGTGAAGGCTTCAGCTGTCAGTCCTGCCTTTTATAGAGGCCAAATGTTTGTCAGGAGGTAGAGCCCGGGCCCAGATGCAGCCCTGGAGAATGAATGGAATTAAGATAGCAGTTGCATTTCACCTTGTCCCGGATTTAGGCAAGAGCTCAGGCTGCATGCTGTCTAGGTTTGGGGGAGGTGAAGGATAGACAGCAAGGAGCCTGATAAAATGATATGCAGAAGTAACTCAGTCCTGCCTCCTAATTATCAGGATAATGTGACACTTGCCAATTAATTGATGCCACTGTGGTGATTTGTGGCAAGCTACTTCTGGGGTAAGGCAGAATGGCAAAAGAACCCGTGTCTTCAGACACAGAGCTAATAACTGGTCATCTCTGCTGGTACTGATCTCAAATATGCTGGTAGTCAGCTATTTGTGTCAGAAGTCATTGTAACTAATATTTTTGCCATAAGCCCCTTTCAACATACAGACCAAATATGAGCCTGACCTGGCAGCAGTGCAGGCCTATAATTCCAGGCTTGTAATGCTTTGAGGCTGAGGCAACAAAAATCACAAGTTTAAGACCTGCCGTGGCTATAGAGTGAGTTGAACTCCAACCTGGGCAACTTATTAAGGCTCTGTCTTATAATAAAAAGTAAAAACAAGCCGGGCGGTGGTGGCACACGCCTTTAATCCCAGCACTCTGGGAGGCAGAGACAGGCGTATCTCTGTGAGTTCGAGGCCAGCCTGGGCTACCAAGTGAGTTCCAGGAGAGGCGCAAAGCTACACAGAGAAACCCTGTCTCGAAAAACCAAAAAAAAAAAAAAAAAAGTAAAAACAAAGCTGGAATGTAAATTAATGGTAGAGTGCTTGCCTAGAAGGAAGAGCCCTGATTTCAGTACCCAGGAACACACACACACACACACACACAGTAGAACAAATTTCAGACATCATTACAGCCTTAGTATCTAGTAGAATGTTAGGCATTGGCCACATGACAGCCAAGAAAAGTTTGGAGAATTAACTTTCTTCACATGCAGTTAAGACTTGTTTTATTTGAACCTAGTTCATCAATACAATTGCAAACGAGATTTTTTAAATTTACGAAAAGATGGGTATCTTTACTGTGAGTGTGACACCCTGTCTCAAAAAACTAAATGTAGCAGGGTTGGGAGCTCAGTGGGAGAGGTGTTGGGCGGTGGGGGAGGAAAAGGGGTGGAGAAGGAGAGACTGAGGTGGGGAAAGAATCTGAAAAAAATTTCAAGTGTTAGTGTTTGTGGTAGTTTGACACAGCAAAACATCCAGGAGCGTGATTATTGGACACTTCGTTAAACAGAATATAGAGCAATTCTCTCCAACGTGTGTGGGATGTTGTTGGGTGAGATGGCTGTGTTTTTGTCACATGCCAGAGGACTGTATGGCAATGGATGAAACTGTAAGGTTAGTTTGTCACTTGCTACTCAGAACAGGTAGAAACCTGTGAAAAGGTAAATATTTATTGTTATTTTTAAAGTCCTTTTCATTTCTTAATTGAGCCTGGCTTCTGAAATTCACTGCTAAGTTGAGGAAGTAAAATTTTTGTCATTTATTTTGGATCTTAGAGTTAAAAAGAAAAAGAAAGCCTGTCTTGCTTTGTCAGTAAAAGACACACATCTGTAATGAGTTAGTAACAGTAGTAATAGATTACACAATAGTCATAGAAATTATTCCAAGGAAGTAAAGCCCTAAGGGTGTTTACTGACTTGACTTAGAACTGTAGTCTCTCAGGAGACTGAGACAGAAGGATTCCAAGTTCAAGGCCTGCTGGGCTCTAGACTGAGTTTACAATCAGCCTGGACAACGTGGTGAGACCCAGTTTCAAAATAAAGTAAAAAAGGACAGGGCCATGTAATTGGATGTTTCCTGTCCCGACTGCCTGGTCCCAAATAACCGACTCAGAGGCTGAATATGAATTATAAATAATCAGCCAATAGCTCAGGCTTGTTACTAGCTAACTCTTACATTTAAATTAACCCATATTTCTATTTATGCTTTGCCACATGACTCATGGCCGGTTACCTTATTTTCTGCACATCCTATTTGCTTAGCAGCTGACTGGCGTCTCCTGACTCTGCCCTCCTTCCCATCATTCTCATTTTGGCTTTCCCACCTTATTTCCTACCCAGCTACTGGCCTGTCAGCTTTTTATTAACCAATGAGAGTTATACATATTCATAGTATAGAAAAGGATTGTTCCATAGCAGGCCAGGCTGGGGATGTAATTCAGAACACTTGTCTAGTGTATGTGAGGATTAAATTCAATCCCCAGTACTGCAAAATAAAATAAAACAAGTCTCTCACTTATTCCTAATCATAGCTCTTGGCAATGGCAATAAAGCCATCAAACTTGAGTAACAATTTATACATCTAACATATAAAAATATTGGTTATGAATTTAACCATTTTGAACTTTCTACTAAAATAAGCTCCACACATAAAAATTCATGAATCCAGATTGGCTGGACCCTGAACTCAAAGATCCAACTGCCTCAGCCTTCTAAGTGTTTGGGATTTAAGTTCAGTACTACCAGGCCCAGCCAGAATCCATTTCTTTCCCTGAAAAACAGCTGAAATGTAGCTTTAATTCTGTGAGCCAGTTTTTGAAACAGGATGCCGATAGAAGATTAAGGACAAATTTTAAAAATAAAGCATTGCTTCCTTCATTGTGGATAAAAGTCTATTGCCCAGGGACCGGAGAGATGATTGAGTGCTACTGCTTTTGCCGAGGACCCAGTTTCAAATCCCAGCACCCACATGGTGGCTCACAAACATCTATAACTCCAGTTCTAGGGATCCAGTGAGCTTGTCTGGCCTCTACAGGCACCAGGTATGCATATGGTATGCAAACATACATGCAGGCAAAACACCCATATACGTAAGAAAAAAATTTTAAGTTTGTTGTCTGAAATCTTCTTTGATTCACTTCATACCTTTGAGAGAAAGATTTCTGTAGTATTGATAGTGTTACTAAAATGAACTATAGAAACAATTTAGCTATGCATTGTCTCTTTCAAGTATCATGCTATCAATCCAAGCACCCTAAATGTAGCTAAAGTATCTCATTTAACAAGCAAAGAACACAGCTCATTTCTCACATTATCTGTACTTATCTGTATGGACATATTAATGTTATTTTTGTAATTCTTTTCTTCCCATTTTATGTTTGCCCCAGTTATATTTATTGAAATGTTATTTTGTTTCTGGTTAATCTGAGAAAAATCTAAGTTTATATTTAGTGGCTCTTTATTATTTGTTTTCATTTTATTTTCCTGGCAGTTCTTGGCAGTTTTCTGAGACAAGATCTCCCATCGTAGCCAGAGCGGTCCTGGAATTCACTGTGTAGCCCAGTCTGGTCTCAAATTTCTGGCAGTCCTCCTGCCTCAGCCTCCCAAGTGCTGGAATTATGCCCAGCTTTAACAATTTGCTTTTATTTCACTTTCTAAAAGTGTCAGTTCAGAACAATTGGGAGATTTGGAAGAATGAACAGTTCCTTTGCAGGGAGTGTGGGAAACGACCGGCCTGTAAAGGACTTCAGTTCTCTCGTGGTGGAGTCAAGCCCATGAATCACTTCCCTTGTGTGTGTGCTTCTTAGATTGTGTCAGGTTTCAGGAACAGAGAGCTGCCGGCTTCATCTTAGTCACTGAAGGTTAGCGATGGGCTGGGGTAGGACGGAGTGAGGACAGCAAAGCCGCGGCAGGGGCCCTTGCCGTCTACCCATGCGTTCTGTGATGGCAGAGGATGCTCCACCATGGCGCCCCTGCTCAGCACCACTGTCAGTGGTACCCTTCCTCTCTCCATAGCCGTGCCTCTACCTCAGTTTCCCCTCCATGTAGCCATTTCACACACCTCAGTAGAGAAACTATGATTGATTCTCCCTCAAAAGTGCAGTTTCCATCAGCCAGACCCATTGTATCACTTCCAGGGCTCCAGAGAAAATGAAAAGGAAGAACCCCTATTTTAAAATTACCAAGGATTTCAAGATGCGACATCAGAGCATTAAAATCATGCTATGGTCTTTGTAGCCTGAGGTCCCACGTAACTTTATAACTCAAGATGTGCACAAAGCCAACCAATTCATGGTGA